CGTAAGAGGCGGGGGGGGGGATCAACGGGGCGGAGCCTGGTACGAGCCTAAGCTTGGAAGGCTTCAGGCCGGACGGAAAACGTTTCCGGTGCTAAGCGCAGTGGTCGGCGGGAAATGTAGTTCTTTACAGGACGTCGCTCGATTTAGTTAGCTGAGCGCACAAGGACGCTGAAGCAGGGCGTGGAGTGGTGGGTTATCGCCGTGATGCCGCAGGCTCTGTCGTTTACACGAGACCAACGCTCTTTTCTGCAGGTACACCTGCACAATATTTCTTTACAGACGGTTGTGAGCCACCACGTGGTTGCTGGGAACTGAATTCAGGACCTCTGAAAGAGTAGCCAGTGCCCTTAACCTCTGAGCCGTCTCTCCAGCCCCAAGAATAGCACTCTCTCTAAATACTTGGGAGAGAAACGAAGTTTAGCGTAGCGAGTCACTCCTATATTCCCAAATGCTGGGGGATACAGAAGAGGAGAGCCGCGAGTTCAAAGCCAGTCTAAGCTTTGAACATAGTGTGCTCTAGAGTCAAAAAAAGAAAGTTAAAAAAAAAAAAAAAAAGGGGGGGGGGGGGGGGGGGGGGTCTGGTATCTTTCTTCGAAGGCACCTTTAGGCAGTTACCCAGATGTTCGTAAAAAAGCTCTCGCATGGTATGTTCGCCTTGAAAGCTTTTGTCCACCAAAGATACGGCATACAGCTTCAAGCTATTGAATTCACACAAGAACACCTTCAAGTAGCCCTGAAAACTACCTCCTCTGTGTCCCTCCTGGTCCTCTTTCTCTCCTTAATGCTCCTCCCACTTCTTTGTTTTCAGAAAGCATCTCACACAGTCTAGGTTGGCTTCGAACTCTTTAAGCTAAAGATGGCCTTGAACTCCTTGATCTTCCTGCTTCTGCTTTCCACATCCAGGGATTAAAATTGTGTGTCACCATGACCCATGGTTGGCCCTTTTCTGTACTTTTTTTCTTCCACTTATCTCAGGCAAAGAAAAGTGAGTGGAAAAGACTTCTGGGAAGCGATAGCACTCCGGAAGAAGGTGGTCAGCAAGTGACCCTATCATGTGGCTCCCGCTTCCTCTTCTGAATTTAGTTTTGTTGAGACACGTTATTTTGCTTCTGTGTTAGCCTCTGACCCCTAAGCACTACCCTATTTCTCATCCTCAGCCCTCATGTAGTCTAAAGTCATTTTATCTGAGACCTTTTCAAAAAGTTAATACGGCAAGTGGTGCGTGGTGGTGCATGCCTATAATCCCAGCCCTGGGAGAGGCAGAGGCAGGCAGATCTCTTGTGAGTTTGAAGCCAACCTGGTCCACTAAGTGAGTCCAGGACAGCCAGGGCTACACAGAGAAACCATGTCTCTAATAACCAAAAGCAAACAAACAAACAAAACCACAAAAACAAAACCCACAACACTCTGGAAACAGAAGCAGGTGGATCTCTGAGTTCCAGGCCAGCCTGATCTACAGAACAAGTTCCAGGAAAGCCAGGGCTACACATACACACACACACACACACACACACACAGACACACTTGTCTCAAAACAAACAAAAAACCAGGGAGTGGTGGCAAACACCTTCAATCCCAGCACTCTGGAGGCAGAGACAAGAGGATCTTTGGGCGCAAGGCCAGCCTGGTTTGCAGAGTGAGTTCCAAGACAGCCAGGCTACACAGAGAAATCCTGTCTTGGAAAACAAACAAACGAGTGCATGGCCAGATTGGCTTGTATTTGTATGTAATGTGTAATCTTTCCATACACTTTAAACCGTTATACATACATAAATGTGATAATATGTGTGTATGTGTCTATACTTTTTTATTTTCAGGTGAGCTCTATACTCTGCCCCTCAAGTCTTTCTATATTACTTATCCCTACTGCAGTATAAATCCTATGTAAATAGTTATGTTTCTGTATTGCTGAATAAATGATGACAAGAAGGCTAGGGGTATAGCTCAGTGGGTACAATGTTTGCTCTGCACGCAGGAGGCCCTGGGTTCTGTCGTCACCACCACAAGTGAAAAGAGAAAGGATAGAGACCGGAAAAAATGTCTGTACAAACAGACTCAACTTTTGTTTGTTTGTTTGTTTGTTTGTTTGTTTGTTTTGTCTTTCAAGGCCAGAGGCTTTTCTGTGTAGCCCTGGCTATCCTGGAACTCACTCTGTAGACTAGACTTGCCTTGAACTCAGAGATCCACCTGCCTCTGACTTTGGTGAGCTGTGTGCCAAAGGCATGTGCCACCAGTGCCTGGCTCTATGACTCAACTTTGTTTTTGTTTTAAGACCAGGCTGGCCTCGAACTCACAGAGCTTCGATTACCTCTGCCTCCCAAAGTGCTGGGATTACAGACGTGCGTCATCGTGCCTGGCTTTTTAAGACTCAGCTTCTAAAAAAGAATGAATTGTTTTTATTTTTTAAGCTCTCTCTCTCTCTCTCTGTCTCTCTCTGTGTGTGTGTGTGTGTGTGTGTGTGTGAGAATATGTGGGAGTATGCGCACCAGGCTGCAGTGCCGGCCGAGTCCAGAAGAGGCCAGAAGAGGCCATTAGATAAGCCAGGAACCGGCTATATGTAGTTGTGAGCTATGTGTCAGGAAAGGGGAGAACCCAACAGTATCTGTTCTCTTTTGCTCTTATTTTTATTTTCTCTGTATGGCTCTTTTGCCTGCAAGTGTATCTTTCTACCACATGTGTACCTGGTGTCCCCAGAGGCCAGAAGAAGGCACCAGATCTTCTGGAACATGAGTTAGAGATGGGTGTGAGCTGCCCCAGTAGGCACTGAACCCCCAGGCCTCGGCAGCAAAAGTAACGAGTGCTCTTAACTGCCGAGCCGCCTCTCCAGACTGGAACTTGTGTAATGCTCCTGCCTCTCCCTCCTTTCACAAGTGAGCACCGCCACGCCTGGCTGTACTCCTTTTGCTTCCTTCTATATTTGCTCCCTGCTTCTTGGGCACCAGAGTCCCTCCATAGCTGAGGGTGACCTCAAATTTCCAGTCCTTCTTCCTCGACCTTGAGAGCCCTGAGATTACAGACACACGCCATCGCTCCTGCCTTTTACTCCATTTTGTGTGTTTGTGTGTGACGTGTATGTGCGTGGGAGTGTGGGCGTGGGAACGCCCATGCGCTTATGGAGATCAGAGGGCAATTTACAGGAGTCACTTCCCCAGTTCTTCACGTGAGCCCCAGGGATTAATCTCAGGTCTTCAGGCTTGGTGTGTGTGTGTGTGTGTGTGTGTGTGAGAGAGAGAGAGAGAGAGAGAGAGAGAGAGAGAGAGAGAGAGAGACAGAGAGTGTGATGTGGTGCCCTGGGGTCCAGAGGGCCTTCAGCCACCGAGCCGTCTGACTGGTCCCTGAATTCCGTTTTTAAGCCTTAACTTTCTCATTGTTTATTGTTTGTCCTGTGGGAGGGTTGAGGACTCAATAAAAAGGCATATGTACATAGAGCTGCCTCAACCCCTGGGACACTGTGGCTGTTGTCACTGTTTTTATTATCAGGCGTCTCTTCCTATAAGTTGCCAGCTCCGAATTGGGCTCTGTCCCAACAATTATCAGAGCCAGTTTATAAACCGAGCCAGGTCCACGTGTCTGAGCTGTGGTCTCTCTGTGGGCAGGGTTCTGGCACTCCTCCACACAGCTGTAAGGATGGAGCTGAGTTCAGGCTGTAAGGGGCAGTGGGAAGACCCACAGAAGAAAACGAGGGAAATCCCTCTTTTATTTTTGCATGTTTGTTTACTTTTGAGACAATGTCTCACTCCGTAGCCTTGGCTGACCTGGATCTCACTCTGTAGACCAGGCTGGCCCTGAACTCAGAGATTGCCCTTCCCCTGCCTCCTGAGGGCTGGGATCATGAGGGTGAATGCCCCCAGGCTACTTACTAGGTTTTTGTTTTTGAGACAGAGTTTCCCTATACTCGGCTTCTCCACCTATAAACATTTAAACGCACATAGGAACATCTCAGCCCCCGACTCTGGGGGCGAGCCCGCGTGCGCGCGTGTTTATTTATTTCTGTGGGTATGGGTGTTTTGATCAAGTATGTATGTCAGAGGAGGCCAAAAGAGGACCCCGTGGAGCCAGCCACCTACCCCGCCTCTGAGACAGGTATTCACTAGGGAGCCCAGGCTGGCCTCTAGCCGGTGATCTTCCAGTCTGTTTTGGTATCAAGTGTAAGCTACCACAACCACACCAGAAATGCTCATCTGTTGTTTTTTCGTTTTTATTGTTGTTGTCGCCTTGTTCTGCTTTTTGTGATTTGTGTGTGTGTGTGTGTTTTTGTTTTTTTTTTTTGTTTTTTTTTTTGAGACAGGGTCCTACTGTGTCGCCCTGGAAACTCACTATGTAGAGCAGGCTGGCCTCAAACTGATAGAGATATTCCTTCTGCGCGCTGGAATAAAGGGGTGAGCCACTCCGGAAGGCTATTTATTAGGGAGTTCTTGATTGTTTGTTCGTCGTTCTGTAGAGTCTCGCTGTCCCTTCCAACAACGTCTCCCGACGCTGATCGGGGGTTCCCAAACCATAGTCCCTCCCACCCCTCCCCACAGTTTCTTCCGCAACCCAGTGCTTCAAGCAAAGACCTGGAGATGCTAAGCCAGGCTCTTACGCCTTGAGGCCTTGAGGCCTGATCCCCGGGGCCTGCCGCACTCTGTCTGGGGTTGGCGGAACTCCCAGGTGCTAAGATTCGGGGGGGGGGGGGGCCCCCCCCCCCCCCGAGGAGAGTTTCAGTTCTCCGGGTGCTGCGGGAGCCGAGCTGGACGGAACTCCGCGGCAGTGAAGAACTCATCCCGTGGGCGTCCGGGATCCCGGAGCGTGGGACTCCACCCTCCCGGGTCCCGTCCCAACACCTGGCGTTAGGGCGTGCCTCAGTTTCCCAGCGGCGGGGCGGTCCGCCAGCCCCGCTCCTCCCCTTTTTCCTCTTCCTCCTCGGGGCGTCGGTGGCCGCGCCGGAGCTCCCGGAACCGAGGGCGCACGGCGGGCGGTGGGCCGGCCACGTCAGCGGGCGGCGGGGCCGCGCGGGCACCATGCGGCGGGGCGCGCTCCTGGCCGGCGCGCTGGCCGCCTACGCGGGGTACCTGGCGCTGGGCGCGCTGCTGGTGGCGCGGCTGGAGCGGCCGCACGAGGCCCGGCTGCGGGCGGAGCTGGGCTCGCTGCGGGAGCAGCTGCTGCGGCGCAGCCCGTGCGTGCCGGCGCCCGCCCTGGACGCCTTCGTGGAGCGGGTGCTGGCGGCCGGGCGGCTGGGGCGCGCCGCGCTCGCCAACGCCTCGGGACCCGCCAACGCCTCGGACCCCGCCTGGGACTTCGCCTCGGCGCTCTTCTTCGCCAGCACGCTGGTCACCACCGTGGGTAAGTGAGTGCCATCCTCCGCTCCCTCGAGAAACACCCTCAGCCCAAGTGGCTCGGAGCAACCACACCGGTTGTGGCCGCCCCCTTTGGAGAGAGTTAGTGCAAGCCGAGCTGTTCCTCCCAGGTTCTCCTCACCGCAGTTCCCACGGAGTAGGGACCCCCTCATCACACGGTCTGTGGCAGCATCCCTCCTGGTGCCTCTGGTTTATTTGATTTTAAGATAAGCATCTCCCTTTGGGCCCAGGTCGGCCTGGAACTTCATCTTCCTGCCCCCGCCCCCTACGTGTTTGAGATTACAGGTGTGGGCCCCCAGGCCTGGCTCCATTCTTGTCTTAGCCCTAGGACTGTCATGCGTGATCGCCAAGGGCCTGGGACTTTCCTTGGGTGTCTGACCCCAGGGGCTGTGTCCACCGCAGAGCTGGCTCACCAACTCTTCCAGACTCCGGATAGGTCCTTCCTGGAACCAGCCGCTTTGGCTTCCTCCTGAACTCAGTGTCCTAGTGAACTGGGTGTTAAACTCAGGCCCTTGTGCGAGCTGGTTGTTGACCCCAGGGCGCCATTACTGAAGGGCTGTGTTCTAGGACAGACCTCAGCCAGACCTGAGACCATTTCTGGGATCCCCTCCCCTTTGGGCACTCAGCAGCAGGAGAGCCCCGGACCAAAGGCACCCATCCCTCTCCCGTGCCTGTATTTGCCAGTCTAACACAGGACTCCACCCATCTCTCCTCCGCCCCTGTACTGCTGCGATTTCTCCTGAAGCTCTTCCACTCCAGACCCAGGATGCCTAGAGCAGTTCCAACCGCCAGCAGTGAGAAAGGGGTGAGCCCAGGGTGTCCTCCAGGCGGGGTCGCTGGCTGTCCAGCTTGAAGCCCTCCAAGCCCAGACTCCTGCCCTAAACTACCTCCAGCAAAACCTCTAACCCTTTCCCAGCCAAGGACTAGTCGTGAGGGGCTCTTTCAGCTCGGAAGGAGGGTGGAGCGTTTGAGCACTCATGAACGGGACCCTGTTCCTTCTCCAGACCGTGAGCCCGCTCTGTGACAACAAATCCCCACCCCAGGACACAGTCCAAACAAAGACTCATTCCTTGTCCTCACCCCAGATGACCAACATACTCACTATGGGTTTTCCAAGCCAGCTGGGGTGGTGGGCTGACCCGAGGCTGGACCTCCCCCAGACCCACTGCTGGGACTTCCTGAGCCTCCCAGCCTTGCTGCAGCCTGAAACATGGCATTCTTTCAAGGTGCTCTATGACAGAGCCCCCCCCCCAAAAAAAAAAGCATTACTCACTCCACCCTTGACATCCAGCAAGGCCCTTAGAAAGGACCTTACCACCTCCTTTAGACACCCTGGGCTCAGCAGCTCTGGCTGTATGAGAGTTCACACAATCCAGATGAAATCTGCTGGTGCTGGTTCTTTGTTCCTGTGGAAACAGGACCTCAACACCTCAATTCGATTATTTTATTTTTTACAATTTATCCATTTTATGTCCTGATAAGCAGGACCCTGCTTTCCACCTGCCTCTGCCTTCCAAGCATTGGGACTAAAAGGCCCAGCTTTTTGTTTTGTTTTGTTTTGTTTTGTTTTGTTGAGACAGGGTTTCTTTGTGTACAAGTCCTGGCTGTCCTGGACTCACTTTGTAGACCAGGCTGGCCTCGAACTCTCAGAGACCTGCCTGCCTGTGTCTCCCCGTTAAAGACATGAGCCACTGCTGCCCAGCAGGACCCTGGGCATGGTGGCGTGCACCTCAGTGCTCAGGACGTGGAAGGAAGAGGGCCAGCCTGGGTTACAGGAGACCCTGTCTAGTCAATAAAACAGAACAGGGTAAGGGAGAAGCCATGGGGAAGAGTGCTTATGGGAAACTGAGGTCAGAACCCCAGCACTCAGGCAGGCCGAGCCTGCCTGTGCAAGCCTGGACCCCAGCACTGGGCTGGAGACAGGTGCTTTCCTGGGTGCTCCGCAGACGACTCGACAAGCTTTCAGGTTCCTTGTGAGACCCGGCCTGAGGGAATGAACCGAGGAGGAGGAAATGAGCAACGGGACACCAGACAGGCCCACCTGTGCACACGAATTCATACGCCAGCCACACAGAGCAAAATTGAAAAAAGAAATAAATAAAACACCATCTATGCACAATACACATTAGCATTCTGCAGAGCTTTCTCTGAGACCCCGTCAGGTAGAACCCACCGCTACCTGCACCCTGGGGAATTTCTCCCGGAGAGTCCCTTCCACCCTCACACCACAGACCTGGGAAACCCCTCAGAGGCCAGGTCCTGCTGCTCTGCAGCCCTTCCCTCTCCATGAGCTGACCTCTTTTGGGGACAGGGAGGCGGCTGAGCCAACTGAGCTGCTTCTAGCAGGCAGCAGCATGCCATGGTGGATGGTTTTTTCCTCCCCCTCCCCCCACTTGGGGCCCTCACTGTGTGTGACCAGCCAGCTGAGGTCTCTGGCAACAGAGCTAGGTGACTCTTCACAGAAGAGAAAGAACCCTTCTCCCCCGAGGCTAGCTTTCCCCAAACTTCCTGAGCCGGCCTGACCTGCTTCTGGACTTCCCTGGTCACAGCCCTTGTCTGTCTCCTCTCAGATTCTCACTTCCGACCAGTCACCCCTGGTGCTGCAGCCTGACAGGGGAGGGAGTCAGACAAGACAGCAGGCACAGCCTGTCGGGGCAGCTGCACAGTAACGGTTCCTCAGCTGTGAAACCAGACCATACTTCACCGTCAGCGTGACAGGGGCCTCGCCACATCCGGCTCTTAGCTCAGTCAACACACAGCACTGTGAGGTAGCTGCCGCTTTGTTAGGTTTGTTTTCGAGACAGTGTTTCTCTGTGTAACGATAGCCCCAGGCTATTGTGGAAGCTCTGGAGACCAGGCTGGCCTCGAACCCACAGAGATCCGCCTATCTCTGTCCCCCAAGCCCTGGGGTTAAAGGTGTGTGGTACTAGCACCCTGTGCCGACACTCTCTGTCTGTCTGTCTGTCTCTGAAGCTAAGGACCAGAGAAGTCAGCCGACTTGCACAGAGCACAGAACTAGCATGGTGTAGAACATTGTGACAAACTTTTTTCTTTGTCCTAGCGCTCCAGAGGCGGCGGCAGTGGGATGGCTGCGAGTTCAAGGCCAGCCAATTTATATAGCCAGTTCCAGTCCAACCAGGACTGCAGAGTGGGACCTGTCTCAAAAACAAACAAACAAAAAGGCAAAACAAGCAAATAGCGTTAATAAAGGCTGCTGACAAAGAGGCAGTGAAGACCTGTTTCCACTGTGCGCGGCAACCCCTAGATTTAAATATGGAACAGGGGGCTCTGTTTCATTCCCATCTTCTGACCCCCGGAGAGTCCCAGTCCCACCAAGCTGCGCGTGTCTTCTGAGGTCAGTGCTGAAAGGCGGCCTCTGCGGTTGGTGGCAACACGGGGCGTCCTCAGTGCTCACGCGTGCAGTTTAGCGTGCCAGAGCTGGCAGTGTGACCCGGCCTGGTGGCTCAGGCTTGGCCTCCCAGCTGGCGGGAGGCTGGGGAGGGCGGATCCCAGTTTCAAGGGCTGCCTGGGGGATTTAAGGAGAACCTGTCTCAAAAGAGGAAGTAGGACGAGGTCTCGGGGTTCCACACCTGCCTGCCTCCACACCAGGGGAATCTGGGGCTTGGCCAGTGATGGAAATAAAACATGGAGATAAGGGCGAGGGCGGCTGGTGGGTGGGCCACAAGGGGGGGCTGCTGATGCCGGCTCTGTGTGCGGGGCGGCTCGCACTCAGTCTGCTGCAGCCCTGAGGGCTCCCAGGTTCAGTTCTGAGCACCCTCCTGGCAGCTCACAACTGGCTGACCTCCAGGGACCCCTGCACACCCGTGGTGCCCACACGTTCACTCACACACACACATATGTATACAGATAAAATTAAAATAGTTAAAAAAAAAGAGAGTCTAAAGTAGGTGGGCTGCCATGAGACCTAGTGCCCCAAGGACAAAATAAAAATATGTTAAATATATGTAAGAAAATGTCATAACAAACACATTATTTTACACTAATGTATGCTAGTTGAAAGGTTGCAAAAAAATTCCTAGATGTGTTTGCACGCCGGTAGGTAACCCCAGCACCTAACGGGACGGCAGGATGATCCTGAATGTCAGTGAATTGTGGGCCCAACGCAACCCACTAAATAACATAAAACAAATGTAATTTAAAGTTTATTATTTTTACATTTTTAAAGATTATTTATGTTGTCAGTTTACCTGACCATATGTGTGTGGGCCACAAGTATGCTGGTGCCCAAGGAGGTCAAAAGGTGGGTCCTGCCAGGAAGGGTTGGTGTTGGCACATGACTTTAATCGCACCCCTCGGGAGGCAGAGGCAGGCAGATCTCCGAGAGTTCTCAGCCAGGATCCCCTAAACTGGAGTTGCAGGTGATTGTGAACCACCATGTGTCCTCTGGGCCGAGTAACAAGTACTCTTAACCATTGAGCCGTCGCTTCAGACCCTCCAAATACATGTAATAATAGTGGTAGTGAAAGGCACAGAGGAATTATTACTAAGCCTGGCCTAAGTAGGTTCACCCTGACCCTCCCTGAAGCCTGGGGCCTCACACCGAACACCAGCAAGGTGCTTCCCTTTTTGAGTCAGGGGCTCTCTGTGTGGCCTTCGCTGGGTCCTGAGCTCACAGGTGTGAAACAGCACGCCTGGCTTCCCAGGGACTCTTTGGACCCACTTGGGACATGGGGTAGGTCCCCAGGGCAGCATCCTGGGTGAGGCTTTCACCGAGGTGGCCTGCTGGAGATCAGGGCTGGCGGGACTGCCGTGTAAGGGAGGGTGGCTCTGTCTGTGCGGAGAGCCCATAGCGGGCGTCTAAGGTGTACGGCGGTGCTAACACTGTGAGTCAAGCCAGGAGTGATTTGTCACGGGGTTTCTCTGTGTAGCCTTGGCTGTCCTGGACTCGCTTTGTAGACCAGAGAGTCCCCTGCCCATGCCTCCCAAGACTTGGGATTATAGGTGTGTGCCACAATGTCCAGCTTTTTTTTTTTTTAACCTGGAGAAGTGAAACAAATTCAGCGTCGTTACAACCTCTTCGATGGTGTTCTTCGTTTCATCAGAAGCCCAGGATGTCAAAGACCTGACACCTGCTGCTCTTGTGGGTCATCTCAGTGCAGGGATGAAAAGCAGTCCTACCATGGAAAGATGCTAGTGTTAGAGTACTTGTAGCTAGTTGAGGTGTGACTCAGTGGTGGAGCCCCTGCCTAGAATCCCCCCGTGAGGGGCTGGGGTGTGGCTCAGTGGTAGAGCCCCTGCCTAGAATCCCCCAGTGAGGGGCTGGGGTGTGGCTCAGTGGTGGAGCCCCTGCCTAGAATCCCCCAGTGAGGGGCTGGGGTGTGGCTCAGTGGAAAAGCACCTGCCTAGAATCCCCCAGTGAGGGGCTGGGGTGTGGCTTAGTGGTAGAGCCCCTGTCTAGAATCCCCCAGTGAGAGGCTAGGGTGTGGCTCAGTGGTAGAGCCCCTGTCTAGAATCCCCCAGTGAGGAGCTGGGGTGTGGATGGCTCCACACAGCTGCACCAGGCTACAGGTTTGATCTCCCAGAACTGGGAAGAAAAGTTTTTTAAATGCAAGTAGCTCAAAGCAAGTTCACTAAGATGAGTCCAGAGGGTTTATTTATGGGTTTTCCCTTCTTCAGAAGCAACCACAGCTCAGCTGGGTAAGCCTTTGATTCCAGTACTCAGGGAGGCAGATGTGGATCACTGTGTGTTCGAGGCCAGCCTGGTCTACAAAGTGAGTCCAGGACAGCCAAGGCCACACAGAGAAACCCTGTCTCGAAAACAAAACAAAGAGACAGCAACTTTTGGATGGAGGTGTCTCCGATGGAGTCAGGAAGGCTGGGGTGGGGGACCTCAGGATGCCGAGGTGCCAGTGTGCAGGAGGCCTCTCCTCCCACAGGCTACGGCTACACTACCCCGCTGACAGACGCAGGCAAAGCCTTCTCCATCTTCTTTGCGCTCCTGGGTGTGCCCATCACCATGCTGCTCCTGACTGCCTCGGCCCAGCGCCTGTCACTGCTGCTCACCCACGCACCCCTGTCCTGGCTGAGTCTGCGCTGGGGCTGGCACCCTCAGCGGGCAGCCCGCTGGCACCTGCTGGTCCTGCTGGTGGTCGTAGTGGCTGTGTTCTTCCTCGTACCAGCTGCGGTCTTCGCCTACCTTGAGGAGGCCTGGAGCTTTCTGGACGCCTTCTACTTCTGCTTCATCTCCCTGTCCACCATTGGCCTGGGGGACTATGTGCCTGGGGAGGCCCCTGGCCAGCCTCACCGGGCCCTCTACAAGGTGCTTGTCACAGGTGAGCTGAGTAGCTGGCATCTTCGGGCTGGCAGTTGGGGCTGGAGGGTGTCTCAGGAAAAAAACGGTCCTCTCCTAACTGGTGTTAAAGGGGCTGGACCACACCCCTGCCCTGGAGTCTGAGGCTGACCCGTCAACTTGCCATCTTTCCATCTCCCCTCCCCACACCTGCAGCATACCTCTTCCTGGGCCTGGTTGCCATGGTGCTGGTGTTGCAGACTTTCCGCCACGTGTCTGACCTGCATGGCCTCACTGACCTCATCTTGCTGCCGGATCCGGCCCCTGCCAACCTCAGCCGGGGTGAGGACGATCAGGTGGACATTCTGGACACCCGGACAGATCTGCACCAGCATCTCTCTGCTGGCTCCCACACGAACTACGCCTCCATCCCCAGGTAGTTGGGCCGGTGTGTCAACCTGGACACACCTGGCCTGGGCCTTGGGCCCCATGTGACTAGAGTGGAGCTACAGGAATGCCCACACACTCTCCTGTCTTTCACAGCACCCCACTGGGAGGTGAGGCTGCTCTGCCCACCTGTCCTGGGCACCTCAGGCTACCGATCCAGCCGTTCTCTTCTCCATCCTTTCCTCTCGTTTCTTCTTATACCGTGACCGCTTGGACGTTTTGATTCCTTGGTGGGAGTGGTGATCGATGCTGCTTTGTTTTGTTGTTATTCTCTCCGTGTCGCACTCACTTACATCTGTCATCTGTCACGCATCACTTGCTGGTTCTTCGGGCCTCTGGGCCTGGACGTCACTTCGGCCACTGTGTTAGTGGCTCTGCCTTGGCCAAAATGATTTCCCCCGCTCTGAACCTTGATATCCTCAGCTGTCGGGTGCAAAGACTATTACAGCTCACCCACAGACCCTCACTTCTGTCCCTTGGCCGTTCTGTGCTGGGTGCACAGAAATAGTGGAGGTGGACTGGGCCCTGCTCTTCTTGGGGTCACCGGCCAGTGAGGTTGACCCGCCGACTTGTCCCTTGACACTGACAAATCCCAGCGGGCACTGGCAGAGTGGTCAAGACTGAGGAATAGACTTGAAATGTCCAGGTGGTCTTCCTGGAAGAACGGACAAGAACTAACCCAAAACCTGCTGGTCAAAGAGAAGAAACTGTCCCTTTTCCTCAGGCATTCCTGGGCCACAGCACCTGCGAAGAGCCCTGTGACGGGCCAGCTTCTCCCTCGGTGGCTTAGCAGGCAAGGGGCTGAACCAGGAGCTGAGCACACAGCCCCTCGGTGAGGCCGTGGCTGCCGGCTGGGCGCTGCCCTGCCTGTTTGAACAGTTGCTGGACCTCTGGGACTCTGGCCGCTGAACGGTGACCGGAACAATGCCCCTCGAGAAGATGACATCAGCCAGGTGCCTGTCATCTGAGCTGAGGCAGGAGGCTGGAGAGTTCCCTCGAAGGGAGGGCTGCAAAGCAGGAGCCAGGTGATAAAATAACAGAAACAACAACAACGATAATAATTCATAATATTAACACCTATGATCAAAGGAATATAGTGCCAGGCTGAAGGGACATGAGAGGAGGCTGTGGAAGGCCACAGAGTCCTCAGGGCTGGGACTAACTGCATTCACACGATTATGTCACTTAGGAAGGATTCCTGCTGAAAATAACAAAACCCTGACTGAAATAACCTGTTACCTTGTGCCTGGGGAGAGTCCCAGGCCATACGCCCCACAGCCATGGAGGGCCTGGTGTACCTAAAGGTTCACTCTCTTTTTTGCTATTCTCCACTGAGGGCTTAGCCCCCAAGTGCCTCTCCTCCTGCTGTCCAGATGGCTGCCACGGACCCAGGCACCCAACCAGACCTGCTATTTCTAGTGCAAGCAATAGAAACTTCAACCGGTGTCCTGAGGGTTTTAAAGAAGGTTAGCTCAATATCAGATCATGCTAAGATGTCCTACAGGGCACCTGGGTGAGGCTGGAGGCTAGAGTCCTGAGGCTAGCCAGGGGAATGTAAAAGCAAGATAAAAACAAGGTAGACCTCCCAAGGGAGCTGGGGATGTTCTCAGGGCCAGAGCCTGAGAACAGGTCTATCCCAGGTGCTGGGCAAAACAATTTACACTTCCAGGTCTGGGAAGACGGCTTAGCTGGGCAGGCACAAAGACCTGTTTTCTCCCCAGCACCTACATAACAAGGGCCAGTGGATCCAGGTCTGGGTGAAAGCCCCAGCTAAAAAGGGGTGGGAGCTGAGCCCAGGGCACATACCTTTAATCCCAGCACTTGGGATGCAGAAGTTGGTGGATCTCTATGAGTTTGAGGGCAGTCAGGTCTAAATAGTGAGTTCCAGGACAGTTAGCACTACACAGTGAGACCCTGCCTCTATGAAACAACTAAAAAAGGAAAATAATTGAGGAGCAAAGCGAATGTTAAACTGTAGCTTCCACATGCACACACACACATTTAAAAATCTGAGCCAGCAAAATAGCTCACCGGGAAAAGGCGCTTGCTGTGATCCTCTAACCCTGACAGTCTGAGTTAGATCCTTGGAACCCATAGTGGAAGGAAAGAACCAACTTCCCAAATTTTATTCCCCTTTGACCTCCACAAAGTGCAGCCGTGTCGGCTGATTTCCCAGGTGTCTGTCTGCGCGGAGGTTACGCATGAACCAGCAGTGTCATCATCCACCATCCCACACAAATGCTGCCGGGAATGGGAAGTGGAGATCTTCCCAGCTCTCAAGGCAAAGCTGTGTGTGTGAGGCTGACCCCCTGTTGTCCCTGTAGTTCATTTGTGCCTCAGGTTGCTTCTTTATGAAGCACTATCTCATGGACTTGAACAACCAGCAATTTAAACCTTGTAAAGCCTGGACATCATCTGGGGTCAATAAAATACCTAATTATTCTCTCACTTCTGAACTCTGCTTCTTAAGGAGGAGGATCTCCGGAAAATAGAAAGCCTTTAATATCATGTCCTATTGTATTCCCATTATTATTTTTTTAATCTATATGTATGTGTCTGTGTCTTATCACATGTGTGCAGGTGCTTGTGGACACCAGGAGAGGGTGCCAGAGCCCTTGGATCTGAATGTATAGTCAATTGTGAGCTGCCTGATATGGGTGCTGGGAACGAAACTCAGGTCCTCTGAAGAACAGTACATGCTCCTAACCACTGAGCCATCCTGCAAGCTGTCCTATGAAACCTAGATATGCACACACATGCACATACACACCAAGTAAATAAATAGGACATACTTCAGCAGAAGGACACTTGCCTAGCACAGAGTCCTGGGTTCAATGCCCAGTATGCCAAGAAAGAAAGGAAGGATGGAAGGGAGAGAGAGAGAGAGAGAGAGAGAAAGAAAGAAAGAAAGGAGAAAAAGAAAGAGGGTCTGGTGGTGGAGGCAGAGGCAAGAGGATCTTTGTGAGTTCGAGGCCAGCCTGGTCTATAAGGAGAGTCCAGGATGGCCAGGGATGCACAGAGAAACCCTGCCTCGAAAAAACAAAACAAAACAACAACAAAATAACAAGTAAGTAAATAAACAAATAAATTCATGATCCAAGCTAGAATCAGCAAGTTGAGGCAGGAGGCTTTCTTGAGTATGAAGCCAATCTGGACAGCCGAGAGAGACCTGTCTCAGAAGTTCTGGTAAGCCAAGGCAGGCAGCACAGGCCTGTGGTCCAGCACTCTGGAGACAGCACCCAGGAGTTCAAACCCATCTTTGGGTACATTGTGAGTTCTAGGCCAGCCTTAGCTACACTAAGACCCTGTGTCAACAACAGGAAACTCAGGGCTAGGGAATGACGGCCTGGCTCAAGCTTGCGAGTGTGCGCTACTGCTGGCCTTTCATCCCAACATCCGAGTGGCAGAGTTTAGGGCTATCCTGGTCTACACCATCTCCAGTTCCAGGCCAGCCAGTGTCTGACCAAGAGAGAGTGGGAGGCTGAGAGACAGAAAAACAGAGAGGAAACCCCAGATGTGTTGTTTGAAAGTTATTTTCCTTAGACGATCTAGAACAGAGGACTGACAGCTAAAGCCGGTTAGAGATTTGGCTATTGTCTCCCTCTTCCGATTGTTCTGAGTATTAGATAAACAGTTTGGTTTTTGCTTGATGGTGCAGAAATTCAACATGAGTAATTCTGTCTTGTTGGCGGGCTAGCTGGCCCAGTGCAAACAGTGGCCTCCAGTGTATTGTTTAAGCACAGCAGTGCTTAACTGGCAGGCGCCAGGAAAACCGTTAAACCAGTGGAAGATTCCTTAGCCCAAGTGTCGTGTGCTCTGTGTAGCCAGGCTGACTTCAAACTCGTGGGTTTCCTGCCTCAGTTTCTTAAGTGCTGGGCAAGCACACCTGGCCATGGGGCCTGGCACTCGCTCATGGAAATAAAGGTGCCATTGAGACCTTGTTGGCTCCCTGTCGTGACCTCCTCTGAAAGACTTGAGGAGACACATTAAGAGTGTGATGGAGCCGATGGGCACGCTCTCAAGGACTGAGAGGACAATGATCAAAGGGACCATTGTAGAGCTATGCTCTGGGCAGGCTTTATACTAACTCCAAAATCTCTTGCCAGTTGTAGTGGCATAGGCTGGCAGGATATGCTGAAGAATCAGAGACTCAAAGACATGAGTTCAAGGCCAGCCTTTGTCAGGCCAAAGGTGATAAAAGTTCAGTGGTTAAAGCTCTTGCCACTAAGCCTGGGGGCCTGAGTTTAATTCTCCAGATCTGTGGGGAAAGGCAGGTGGGTGCTGTCTGTAATCCTAGCACTTCTAAAACACGAGGAGAAGCAGGTTCTGGAAAATAGATCGGAAGCTCAGGCCACCAGAAAAAGCTCAGCTTTTTCTTCTTTTGAGACCGGATCTCTTGTAGCCCAGGCTCGCCTTGACCTCTCTTGATTGCCAAAGGGGCAGGGGGAGCCTCAACTTCCGATCCTCTTGGTCTCCTCCTTAATGTTGGCATTGTGGGTGTTAACCAGCTTGCAGTACCTTTTCTGCCCTTAGGCAGGCGCTTTGACTGCACCTTGTTTTTTTGTTTTTTTTTTTTCCTTTTTCTCTTCTCCTCCTCCTCCTCCTTCCTCTCCTTTAAAAAAAAAAAAAAAAAAAAGTTGTCATTGTATGGAAGACCTGGCTGTCTTGGAACTAGCAATGTAGAAAAGGCTGACCTGAAACTCAGAGAGATCCTCCTGCCTCTACTTCTGAGTGATGGGATAAAAGGCGTTGAAATACCCAGATGGTGAGTCCCCAGAAGACCGACAGGCTTTGAGTCTGATGTAAAATGCACGAGGGTCTTTATTAGAAACTTGAGCTAGGTGGCTGCCCTTTACAAGAACAAAGGGGCAAGCGACCCTCAACTCTGAGGGAACAGGGTTTTTAAGGGGTCAAAAAGGAAAGCAGGGAAGTGCAGGTCTTGGCGGTACAGGATTGGGTGAAAGGGTTTCTAGGGGAGCTGACCTTTAAAATGACTGGTTTGTTTTTAGGCGCCAAAACTGCAGATGGTCAGGTCTGGCTACCTGGGGGGCACCTGACCCCTCCACACACACACACTGCCCTGTTACCTGCAGGTTAGGCTGTGGTGAGGGGGAGGGGGAGTTAACACATTCCATGGGCTTTCTCAGGGGCTATATGACCCTAGTCACACCCTAAAGTTTATCTGGGTGGGGGACTGCTGCTGGACCTCTGCTCTGAAAGGACTGTGATCTGGTGATTTTGCCCCAGTCCCAGGAATTAACTCTAAGTTTTTGAACCTCTCATTTCCCCCTTTTCAAGAGAAAAATTTCTTGAATATTCGTGATGTGCCCAAGTCATTTAGCTTGGTGTTGGGAGGGGCGGCTTTTATATCATTTTTAGCTGCTAGGTGGGATCAGGGGCTGTGGATCTCATCTTCTATAGCTGCTTCAATGCTGACCATGGGGCCATCGACAATGGGGCAGTCCTGTGTAGTCCGAAGCTCCCGGTATCAGTCTGGGATGAGTCCTATTGAGTCCATCAGCTTACACGGGTGTCGCAGGTGGTTCAAGGGCTGTGAGGAACTCTTCATTGTTATGGTAGATTAGTCGGGGAACCAACTGCACCAGCACACAGTAAGAATCTGAGAGCAGCTTACCGTAGGTGCAGGGGGTCAAGCCAGAGGAACAAGCCCACCAAGCATTATTGGGAGGTACCAAATATTGATCCTTCCCACCCCTAGAGTTAAGGTCTGGCTGCAGAGGTTTTGATAGGTGTCTGGGACTGTCCCCACACAAGTCCCTCTTCCTGAACTACCTGGAGAGCAAGTCTGGCCTGTGGGGGTGGTTGCCACCTGCAACTGGTCATATCTGTGACAGGGTGTAGTTATTGGTGGCTGCCACAGCCTCGTAAAACGGGGGTCTCGAGTTATAACACAACCAACAGGACTTCGTGAGGTCTGGGCGAGTCCCATTTAGGGCTACATAAGCGTTAAGCATTAATTCCCAGAGAGGGTCAGACTGGGGTTCCTGGGAAGGCCTCATAATTTGGTTAATTTGGGGGCCAGGAGCAGCTGGAGGTTTGGGGGTCCTTGTTTTCTGGGGAGCCTTGGTAGTAATCGGACTTAACCGATTAGGTCCAATAGTCCTTGCTGTAGTAGCAGAAAGGAGGAACCTGAGGTGATTGTTCCCCCATGCCTTCCTGTCTTCCATTGTCGCAGCCCAAAGTTTTTCCCTGCAGCCACTTGGGATAGTTCTTTCCCTCTATGGGGACGGAAAGCAATAGCTGATTACAGGGTTGGGTTATAGGGCGTCGAGGCAAATCACTGTTAATTGCATATGGACAGTTATCATATCTGGGGTCCCTAGTGAACTGGATAAGTCCAGATGAAATGGGCCTCCAACTGGTAGAATATTCCTCGCAACCCCATTTTGCCCAACAGAAGTCGGCGTCAGTCTTCTTTTAAAGATTTATGTGTATGAATGTGTACCATCTGAGTTCCTGAGAAGACTGTGAAGACAGTTCACAATGCGGCAGGTCAGAAACGAGACTCGGGTCCCATTCTTCGGACCAGCAATCGCAGCGATCCGCCTGTCCTGGGAAGCGCTGGGACCACAGGCGTTGAGTCAGGCGGGCTGAGGGCGGCTACTTAACCAGGCTCCTTCCTTCCCACAGTGCCCTCCCCACGTCACACCGGCCCCTTCCCACGGTGGTTCTGGAGAACCTCTTCCTCACACACGGGGCCGGAACCCCCACTGCGGACCCCGCGGCGGCCCTCGGCCCCCAGCGCTTCCGGGCGGCCGCACACCAGGAAGCTCCGCGGCGCCTGGGCCCCGCCCTCGGGCCCTGGGTGCTGTTGGGAACGCGCGTCACCATGGAGACACGCGCCCTCGCAGGCGCGCCTCGCGGAAGCCGAGCGGCCATTTTAAGAGCTGGCAAGAGGGGTGGAACAGGCGCTGCCAAGCAACGGTTGACCCGGTTTGACCAAGTGACTGGTACGGCGGGGCGGGGAGAAGAGGGCGGTGCCATACTAGGGGG